CTTTTCCAACCTAAACAGTTCTATGATTCTATGATTCTAACCCCTGGAAAGATGTGCGCTAGAGCACAAAAGTGTCTATAGCCCATGTAAACAGGCACTGAGATGACTACTACTGGATGACAGGGCTTTGGTGGTCAGATTTGTGGCCTCCTTCAGGTCTTACTTTCAAAGGATGAAGGCTTCCTTAACCAGTACTAAGCTGGTTTCTTTTTTAAGCAAAACATTTCTATTAGTTGGGAAGGTCTGTTAAACCTTAGAGTATCTGTTTAGTAGCCAAGTAAACCGCAGTAGAGTCCTAGCAGGAGGGAATTGGTCCCAGGTACCCTTAGGACATGAAAATATCTGAAAAGGAGAGGACAGAAAGCCACTTCAATAAGCTAGACAAGTACAGGCTATAAAGCTATCCGTAGTGCAACCCATTACCCTAAAGATCTTCCTAGTTATATATGTATATGTATACTACTTCCCATATAGTGTACCTATGCACATATATATGCATATAAATTTACACATTACTTATATAATCTGTATACTTTTATGTACACATTTCTTCAACAATAAGGTCACCAAGTCATTTCTGCTGCATGTATTTACTGACATACAGCTTTTTCATCTCTGTTCTCTGCATGTGGTAGAACAAAGACACAAAAAAAAGCAAGTGCCCGAGAGAAGGAGTAACACAGTGAAGGTCCATAGCAAACTAGGCAGACTGAAAACTATAAAAAGTCTAGACCCAGACACAATACTAGCTTTGCCTAAAACTCCGCACGCCTGCCTTTGTTTTTCCAGCTGTAAGATAATAGTAATACCCACCTACCTGACTCATGAGGAGTGCTGTGAGAATCAATGACAACTGCTCATAGCTGCATGGTATTTTATGGAAATAAAGGAAGATGTAGGAGGTGTTTATGAATTGTGATGAAAATAATAGTCATGAAGGGAAAGCAAACTTTTAATGTAAATTTGTCCATAGAGAAAAAGAAAATCTTTCTTAAAACTTACATTACTAAGTCTACAGTAGTTAAAAAATTAATTCCCCCAGCACCTGAAAATGAGTATTTAAAAATATTGTCAGCTATTTTTACATGCAGAAGCAGCAAATCTCAGTAGTAGAACTGTAATTACTCCCAAAGTGAATCTGGCAAACTTTCCTTTTTATCTTAGTTGCAGAAAGGACTACCGCAGGTTTTTGGGGGTACTTTTCCACACCGGTGGTTCAGAGACTTCTGCTCAGAGCAGAAGAAGAAGATATCTACAAGGCTTGTGAGCTGTGCTGCCTCCTCAGCAAGGAATGCTGAATGTGAAAAATGAATCAAGGTCCTCAGTCTTCAAAAAAAAAAAAAAAAGAAAACAGTACAAACCTTGGAAGGAAATGAGTCTTAAATTTGGTCTGGAACATCCTGGCTAAAATAACCAGTAGCAGTACTAATAAAACACTGGTAGCAGTAAATGCCACTATCTTCCATGTAGTCAGGAGGGTCTCCTGTGTATTTGGCCAGGTTTGTTCTGTAACAAAAAGGCAATACAAGGGTTGTGTTTGATTATTACCGCTGTTATTTTGTATTAATACTTCAACAATACTCAGAAGTGCCAATTAGGACAAGACAGCTTTTATACGTATGTTGTAAAAGCACACATGAACTCAATGCCACATACCAAGAGCAGCCTTAACATTAAGCTGCCACAGGGTCTGGACCTTGCTTTTTACCCTTGACTTTTTTTATGCATGCCATCATGAACTTAGCTTATATACATATAAAAATATCCAGAAGATGTTAAAAAATACATTTGAAGAGCTAACGATTGAAATGGTTTAGGATCATTCAGGATCTTGGAAATGTACTATATTTAATAGCATCTTAAAATCAGTGTTCATCACTTAACCATGAAAAAGATGAAGTTCACCAGGCATTACAGACCAACAAATTTGCTCTAAAAAAGAGGGACTATAAGAGGATAGGATTCATGCCATTGCTGCTCCCTTACCTGTTTTGACACAGTATACTTGGTAGGAGGGGAACCACTCTCCGTACTGGCAGGTGATGTACTTGTAGTCATTGGTGAGGGTGTAACCAGGATCACAGTAAAACTCCACCACCGTCCCGTGGTTGTAACGCTCGCAAGGCCGCGGGTGGCAGATGTAGTCTCCGTGACTCACCATTGGAGGTAGTGGACAAACTTGGGCAAATAAGCAAAGAGAAAAGGAGAAGGGCGTTAACGCCAGCAACGCGCTGCTGGGTAGCTTCAGTGTGTCAAAATGCACACAGCACACTTCAGGCTCCCTGCCATTTTGGGTTCATCTCAGTGGTACCAGACCACTGCTGCTGGGAGATCACGCACCCATCCACACCAGCGGATGGATGCACGCACCTCCCGCATGGTAACGTGCAGGGGTGGGTCACTTTTGGCTCTCACTGACACCAGCAAGCTCTGCTGTCACCTGCTTGTTTAAAGGCCTTAGAGATGGGATCTGTCAAGCTTCCCATCCTCTGGGGTAAGAGGAGGCGGGAGGAAGACAGAAGGGGACACATATGTCTATAAGATACCTATATGGGGATGGAGGGGGACAGTCAAAATAAGGAGAATCTTTCTCCTTATGAAGCGTCTCAAATTCAGCTGTAACATCCTATTTTTTGTTTCATTAACATAATCAAATGGTTATAGGCACTAATCAAATTCCTAAATATTCACTTTTAAAAATAAATTTGCCACCAACTTGCTGCAAGAGATGCACAGCACACAATGTTGCTTAAGCACTTACAGTCTGTACCCTGTAATGCTATTAAGTTGAGCTTAAACTCTACCGGTGTTATTTGTGTTTTGTTATCTCTCAAAAGCTCGACTGATCTCAGTGGGACCGCTGGTGGAGTGAGGTCTTAAATATGACGGAGGCTGAGCCTGAGTTAATTAAGTACAGTGGTTTACATAAGGTTAGGTAAATAAGAAAGAATTGCAATATAAACATATGGAACTTTTATTGTAGGCCCTGAAATGAAATGTCCTCTCCCATGGCTGGGCAGATGAACTCAATGGAGAACCAAGGGAGCACTCTCTAGGAAACAGCAACAGGGAAAGCAGCTCGCAAGCAGTATTTTTATAAGAGAGGAAACTTTTCCACTGAGTAAGTGTTAGTTGATTACTATTTTCTTAAGTGCTTCTAACACAGAGGATAAAAACCTTACAAAGTGTGATGATGTCTCAAATGGCTACATACTGACCCAAAACCGGCTTAAATTACTGGACAGCTTGTTTTATTTCCCTTCAGAGGCAGTAGCTAACTGGCTCGGTGCCCCATCTACAGGCTGTTCCCTTCACTTCATCCCTCCCTCATGCAGGCAAGACCTACTGCATTGATTTATATCACAAAAATGCCACCTCTCAGAAGAAGAATCTTCCCAGAAATTACAATTCAGCTGCTTCTCTCTGAATCTTGTTACATGAATAATGCATTTCATAAAAAAATACACAAGATATTAAATGAATCTTCAAGAGAGGCTGATTACAATATGCAGCAATGTCTATTCCCCATCCCCTGGAGACATGGTTTTGTTTGCATTTTTACTGGCAAGGCTTAATAATAACTTGAAATCAGAGCAAGTAATTCACATAAAAATTCACATCCTCAATACTCTGCATATTTTCCAAAGTCTCTGGGCCCACAAGAAAGAGGAATGCTTTACTGGGAAGTCAAGTCAAGATTGAAAACAATTTTCTTAAGACTACGGCAAAGGTGTCAGACTGAAATAGTAGGAAAGCACCTTTTGTCCATACCGGGGATCATTCCTCTATTAAAAAGAAAATGGTCAGTGAAAGCAACGATTCTGGCCTGCCATAAGGAAACCTGGTATATTTTTATTATCTATGCTTACAGCACGAGAACAAAGGAAGACAGCAGGCTTCCTTGCAACCAAGTTTTGCCAAGCTATGGCAGGCTGCAAGAGATGCATAGATGCCCAGTACCTTTCTAGCAATGAGCAAGTAGAGCACACCTTATCACAAAGAGCAACACTCAGAGAAACAAATTTTCCTCTCCAGCAATGTACCTACTGCCTCATCCCTAACCTCTTAATGTCATTAAGAGCCAAAGCAGCCTGCTGAATAAAAAAAGCCTCCAAGTTGGTGTCCCAGCAATGTGGATCAGCTCAGGAATGACACATTTCTAGGCAGATTAAAAACAATACACTGTGGGAACAACCCAGACACAGAGCTGTCAGTCTGTTTACAAATGGCGATGTGTTTTATAAAACCTGAGAACAAGAGCATCACTCTTTGTGTAGGATATGTCCCCAGTGCTGAAGAAGAGTGCCACCCCTTCCACTGACACCCTGCATATTTCAAGGGAAATGCTCATGTATTGGTGCTGCCTGGAAACTTCTGCAAACATTTGTTCAATGCACTGCCGAGCATTAGTCATGAATTAGAGTCAAGTTTTAAGTGGTCGTACCTGCCAACAGCTCTTGCGTTAAACACTCTACAACCAGCAGATGCGATGGAGCGCATTTGAAAATGAGGGCATTTAGCTCAATTGAAACAGTGCTTCCTTCTTACGTCAACTGGACTGTCAGAGTCAGGGGTTCTCAATCATTTGGGGTATCCCTCATCACCTCCTGTGAAATTTATGTTCATCCAGTTTCAGGATCCCTCAACATTTGCATGGGCAAACTAGCCCCCATGTACAATCAGTAACACTCAGGTTCGGAGCCTCTTTTTCCAAATCAAGTCAAATGAGCTACATCACAAACAACCAAAAATGAAGCCACTTTGAGCTCTGGGCAGCTAGTCATACACTCAGTCCCTTTCTCAACTCACTCCATTCCCATGGCCATCCTGGCCCAAGATCCTTTAAAGTCAGTGAAGGGACAGCCATGAAGCGGCCTTAGCTTTGATCATAACAAAGCAAGATTATGAAAGACTGGAGGGCCGCTGAACACTCTTGGCTCCCAAAGACAGAAGATTTTTAGTGCAGAGCTAGTCATCTTACAGGGTCAGATCCCTTATTTATGCTGGATACCAGTGTACGGTACTGGTTACACAGATTAAAGGAATGTGCAGATCAAATATGGAGGAAAACTCAGGTGGCAAACCTAAGCCCACTGAAGTTTTCTAGGAAAGTTAAAATTCTAGCATTCCCAGTGAACAACCCTAATTGTATTTGGAAATGACAGGCCATGGACTTCAGGCAAACGCATCAAACTCACAGAATGTAAATAGCCACAAACTGTTTAAAATAAAAGTGTGTCTGACAAGTACATTTTCACTGTCAAAGCCAACAGCAGTATGAATGATAAATACTCATAGAAACAAGTAAACTCTACTTCAGGAAGTTCTCACAGCTTAAAAAAAGCCCTAGGTGCTTTTCTTAAATATGACACCATATCTTTACTACCAATAGCTTTCAGCATCTTTACTTTATAAGGCTTTTGAGACTTTAATGCGCTAATTACAACATCCAGCATGGATAATCCCGTAGTATCTTCTGATGACCAACATTAAAAGACCACACGCATGTGTCCTTAACTGTGGAGCTTGTCAGAGGGATGGACATAATTCAGGCAGTGACTGCTGGTGGTTCTGCAGCATGTGATCCTAGGTCTCTGGGTCTGTCTTTGTAGAGCAATTGGCCACAGACTGTAAGGGGACTTACAGGAACTTTACAGCTCAGCATTCTCACCTGAAAAGCTGAATCATTCATCAAAAAGAAAGAACAAGTGTGTTTATATGGCAAACAAATCCCTTCTGGGATGCTCAAGGTGCCTGTTACTCAAGGAAGTTGAAGGGAGGAATTCCTGATTTGATTTGATTTGATTTGATGGACTTTCCCGCCTACTCTTAGGAGCTGCTGGAGCTGAGGGCTCTCCTCTGAGATCAGCTATGGGCTTTCTGCTCTGACTGATTTTAATGAAAGATTAGCAGTCTCAGGAAGAGCTTAAAATCTGGGGAGTCAAGCCCTGTGTCACCAACACTGTCACATACGGGCTTGGAGCAGAGGCAAAGGCAGGTCTGCCCCACGGCGTGCCCCCTCCGTCGCAGCCTCTGCAGTGCAACAGCCGCATCCCTTGGACCAGGGTCCCAGCGAGGGTGACGCAGGCTGTGGGCGCTTACTGCCCAGACACTGGAGGAATAAATGGGGTTCACCCAGTAATTTTTCCTCGCCATTATGGTCAAGAAGCTTTTTAAACTCTGCCCAGAGGATGCTGCAGTAATTCTGCACTGTTGACACTTGGAACTGTAGGAAGGGGGGAAGATTTTTTGGCATTAACCTATTCTCATTAACATTGATGGCACAGAGTAAAGATGTCACGTTACTTTTTAAAAGCCACTGGTAGAGAGATAGCAGGGGAGTTACAGATATTTACAGTGCTCAAAACCTTCTTTTAAGTCAATCAGTTCAATGGCTAGTCAGTTTAGTCTTTGGTCAAAGTAGGCAGGAGGTAAATTATGCAGGTTTTGCCCAGCTTTTGTACATGAGCCAAAAAATAAAAGCAAAAATGTCTTGAAATACAGGGCAGTTACCTATAAAAAAGGGTAGGAATAAGCAAGAAGCTTATTTTCCACCTGTGATTTTTTGCATACTAAGGTTTTTTTTCTAGCTACTAGTCTGCCTTTCATGTAGGACATTAGTTGCTCGGTTAGCTGGGTTAGCAGAAAAACCCAGTGTAAGGCCATCCATTTTCTGTTTGACACAGGGATGGACAGGGTTAGCAACATTTGCACCTAATCAAAAATAACGCTTCTGCCACCCACACTCTGAATGCAAGCCCATCGTGCATAGAGTGAGAAAAGATTAAGATGAAACTTCATGATGAGAAAGACACAGATAAAAAACTGTCAGTTCCAATGTGCAGGGAAAATGCTGGTGCATCTCGCTAGATAGTAATCAGAGAGGTGGACACACTGTCTGGTTTGTGCACAAACTGGAAGAGAACAAGAGCTTCTCCTGACCCTCACTGGTCGTTCTTGTACATATCAGGACGTTAATTAACACCAGAAATCTGGACACCTGTCATCTGGCTACTGCATTCTGATCAATGTTTAACTTGAGCCATGACTTACACCATGAGACCGCAGCAGTATACATCCCAGCAGGTCTGACTCTTCCCCTCTAGGGTGGCCTGGTCCCCACCTGAGGCTTTACTGGCTGGGTTCTGAGGCCTCAGTAAGGATCCTTTTCCACATAT